ACCCTAACCCGAGACGACGAGGGACCCATCCTCGAAGCGTCGTCTCGGGTTCGGGTTTAGGCTTTAGGCTTTAGGCTTTAGGCTTTAGGGTTTAGGGTTTAGGGTTTAGGGTTTAGGGTTTAGGGTTTAGGGTTTAGGGTTCAGGGTTTAGGGTTTACGGTTCGGGGTTTAGGGGTTTTGGTGGTTCCTTATTGTAACTATAGTATAACATACCCCCCCCCCAACCCGATTCTAATTGTTAAGGCCCCTACATTAGGTCCGGAGACCGAGGACGAGGAACACGCTCTGAGCGTTCAATGATGTTCTCCCATAGGTCGCGAACCCACGAGCTGGCGAACGCGTTCGCGTTGTCCCAGGTGGGATGGTGGACCTGGCCGACCGCTTCCTGGACGAAGCCATGAAGACGATCCAAGTATCCCGCTGACACCATGCTTGAGAAGGCCATCCAGGTTTCGTCGTCCAACCATCCCGTTAGGGCCGTTAGGGCTTGACTGACTCAGCGATGTCACTCTCGTGGCACTTGGTCTCCCGAAGTGCCTGCATAGTAGGCGACTTGCTTCTATACGAAGTCTCTCAGCAACGTAATGTTTGCTTCCCCCCAAGACCCTAAACAGTAAACCCTCAACCCGAAGCCCTGTGTTGTTTAATTGAATCCCTTAAATCCTAAACCCAAAGCCCTGTATTGTTCATTTCGGTCCCCGAAACCCAAACCCTCTATTCAGGGTTTAGAGTTTTGGGATATTGGGATCCCCTAAACCCCAAACCCAAAATTTAGGGTATTTAGGGTTTAGAGTTTGGGATATTGGGATCCCCTAAACCCCAAACCCTCTATTTAGGGTTTAGAGTTAGCCCAAGTCTTCTGGTCTTCTCGACAAAAGGACCAGGACACAAGGAAGCTATCCACAACAGCACCCCAACGGGCCCCTATTCTCTGACCCAGAAGCAGGCTTCTCAAAAGATCCTAAACCCTAAAGCCTTAAACCCTAAACCTCTAAACCCTAAAATGCTTAACCCTTGAACTAACCCCAAAACCCTAAACCCTATACCTCTAAACTTAACCCTAAAGCCCTAAAAGGCTTAACCCTTAAACTAACCCTAAAACCCTAAAGCCCTAAACCTCTAAACCTCTAAAACCCTAAAAGACCCACGCGTGAAGACCGAGCCCTGAACTCCATCTAAGAAAGACGACGTACTCTTACAGCAGGGCTTCACGACGGTTTGGGTTAAGGGTTTAGGGTTCAGAGGTTTAGGGTTTAGGGTTTAGGGTTTAGGGTTTAGGGTCATCTACAGAGCCTAAAGTGCACGTATGTGAGGAGAGGATCCTGTTCCACAAAGGGGAGGGGAAGGGAAAAGGAACTATTCCCCGAAGCTCATGGCGGAAGCCGTTCCACATGGGAGGGGCTCAACACCCAAGCCGTTCCACAGAAAAGGGGGGGGGGGGGTATGTATGCATGTATGCATGTATGCATGTATGCATGTATGTATGCATTGGATGTATGTATGTATGTATGTATGTATGTATGTATGTATGTATGGTATGTGTATACATATGTGCATACAGCAAACCTTCAAACCCACACCCGAAATCGCTAACCATTCCTTCCAACAAATTGCCTTCTTTGCTTTCACGTGCAGGAGAACGAGGGGCAGCTGGCACACGCCGTCTTTAGCTCTAGCCATCTCCTGCGGCGCTTTGTCTTTATCTTACGATTTGGGTCCAGGGTCCAGGTATGCAAAGCAGTTGGGCGTCTTACTTCTGCTGCTCTTCGGTTTGAGATCTCTTCGTGTTCCGTGACGAGATACAGCCGACCCTGATACACTACAGCAAGACTGACGAAAGCTCCCCATGCCACCAAAAGCTGAAAAGATCCTCAAACCGTTGCTACGTTTGCTTATTGTCGGCGTTGCTTGTGGCTTCACCCTGAACGCTACGCCCGATATTATCCCAACCTTACCCCTTATATAAATCCTACCTACACCCCCAAACCCAATTTACCGGACCTCCCCGGTGTGAATGCTCAGTCTTTACCGGGCTTTGAAGTAACCAGGGAGAACAAAGTATAGACTTTATTTCATAATAATTCCTTTAAGGAACAGGTCCCCCAAAAAAGTATTAAAGTATGGTACTCCAAAGCCCAGTGTAGGACCTAAAAGCGTGGTTCCTGGTACGTCGACGATGGATGGCGGAATGCCTCCTGCACCCGGAGTTGGTGCGAACACTGGTTCGCCGATGGCGATGTCGGTGCGCAGTGATGACATGGGCAAAGCCCGCTTGCACACGAGCGCCAACATATTCGCTCTCCGGTGCTGGCGCGAGGATTCTTCAACATTTAACCCCTCGACCTCCGCAGAATAGACCTTCTTTAGGGTTTGAGGGTTTAGCTGACCCTCAAACCCTACAACATAGTAGGTTATGACCCCTTTCCCTAAACCCTAAACCCTAAACCCTATAATTAGAGGGTAGAACCCTTAAACAAACGGTGGGTTTTTGGATCCGAAGGAAGGGCTAGCAGCCAGAAGCTACACCTTCGTGTCATTGGGTGCTGGGGGTTTAGACACAGACTTGCTTGAGAGGATCCTTCGGGAAAAGGTGATTTGGGTTTCGGGTTTAGGGTTTACGGGTTATGGTTTAGGGTTTAGGAGTTTAGGATTTTGGGTTCAGGTGTTTGGGTTGGTTAGGGTTTAGAGTTTAGGATTTAGGGTGGAGTTTAGGAAAATTCGCCGGGCGGGCGAGTTCTGTATATAGATGCTACCCTGAACCCTAAACCCGAAACCCTAAACCACAAACTCTAAACCCTAAACCCTAGCTTCCTTGAACCAGCTTAGGGTTTAGGGTTTAGGGTCTACCTGAAGATCCCAAAGCCTACTTTTTCAAGGGTTCTACCCTCTAATTCAGGGGTCATACGGCTGATGGACAAAATCCTGCATGACCCAAATATAGTATAGTACCATAAATCCCATAGTTTGGGTATATAAGGTCATGCAGGATTTTGTCCATCAACCGTCCTACTACTACTACTACTACGACTACGACTGCAAGTAC